CTGGAATCAGGTTTTTGTTGGCACGGTTGATCTTTTTCTTTTTTTGTTTCTTCGCCTGTCCTGTTTGGTTCTTTTGCCATCAGAATTATTGTCTAAAGGCAAAGAAAGATGCCCAACGGATTTACTTTACCAAATGGACCATCCCGGCCTTGCCGTATTGGTCTATTTGATTCATCTTTGCTTTCATTGTTTATTTTATTTTATTTTTGCTTGCTACACACGGGACAGACATGACTGGGGGAAAGAAAAGGGAGAAAGAAAGAGGGAAAGAAAAACAGCAGGGAAGAGGAACGGTGATAAAGGGGAAAAAAAACAAAAAAAACAAAAAACAAACAAAACAAACAGACAAAAAATACATATATAAATCACCTGGATCACCTGTTGAGAAAGAAAAAAGAGAAAACAAGCAAAAAAACAACAACAGAGCAATATAATAAACAACATCATCGCGATGATCTATGTGAATATAACAGTAAATACTAAATATTGAATATTATTGTGCTACCTAACCCTAACCCCTGCACATTTCTCAGCACTCACCCAACGTGGAGACAGACATAAATAGACACTGTACACACAATCACACTCCCCAAGCGTACTCTAGGTCTAGGTACCCTTGCCCCTGGAGGGGGAACCTGCACCCAGACCCAGATAGTGTTACCCTCTTCCCTGGGGTGGAGAGAAGAAGACCGCCCCGACTCCGCAGCAGCAGGGAGGCCCACATTCCAGACCCCAATCGGACGGCCAACTCCTCCTCCCAGCCCCCACGCCCCAACAGGCAACAGAGAACGGGGGTGTGTGAAGACTCCAAACCTCCCTCCGCCTGCTCATATGTAGTGTTGATGCATGTGTGTTCTAAGGTGCATTTAAAACCCAGGAGAGCATGGAGCTACCTGCCAGAGAGCAGCAGGTAAGTGCATCGCCCCTCCTGATAGCCCTCAATGTATATGTGTATTTAAAATTGAGAGGTGGGCAACGGCGCCAGGGGTGAGGTTGTACACTCTAATGGTCTTCTGGATGCTGTGTAGCGTGCCCACCCCCAAGGTCCTATATGTATGTGCTATGAGAGTGTGAGTAATGTGAATGTCTAAATTGTGGGATGAAATTGAGGCACAGGCAGCCAGAAGGGGACAAAGGGGGGGATGCCTCCCCTGAACCCTGGTGGCACACCTGCACCCCAGGGCCTTGCCTGTTCAGTAGTGCCGCCTGGCCCCACAGAGCCCGGGACAGCCCACCCGACCCCACCACAGAGAAAACTGCACCCACCCCGTCATCCACTCATCTTCCAGACTACACAAGACAATAGACACCCAGGCTGAGTTCTCCGCCTCCCCTATATCTCCCCCACCTGCAGAGTGATTTCCTGGAGAGAGGATTCTGTTCAATTCAATTTTATTCATATAGCGCCAAATCACAACAAAAGTCGCCTCAAGGTGGTTCATAGATACAGAGAAAAACCCAACAATCATATGACCCCCTATGAGCAAGCACTTTGGCGACAGTGGGAAGGAAAAACTCCCTTTTAACAGGAAGAAACCTCCGGCAGAACCAGGCTCAGGGAGGGGCGGGGCCATCTGCTGCGACTGGTTGGGGTGAGAGAAGGAAGACAGGATAAAAGACATGCTGTGGAAGAGAGACAGAGGTTAATAACAGATATGATTCAATGCAGAGAGGTCTATTAACACATAGTGAGTGAGAAAGGTGACTGGAAAGGCAAAACTCAATGCATCATGGGAATCCCCGGCAGCCTACGTCTATTGCAGCATAACTAAGGGAGGATTCAGGGTCACCTGGTCCAGCCCTAACTATATGCTTTAGCAAAAAGGAAAGTTTTAAGCCTAATCATGAAAGTAGAGATAGTGTCTGTCTCCCGAATCCAAACTGGAAGCTGGTTCCACAGAAGAGGGGCCTGAAAACTGAAGGCTCTCCCTCCCATTCTACGTTTAAATACTCTAGGAACAACAAGTAGGCCTGCAGAGCGAGAGCGAAGTGCTCTAATGGGGTGATATGGTACTACAAGGTCATTAAGATAAGATGGGGCCTGATTATTTAAGACCTTGTATGTGAGGAGCAGGATTTTGAATTCAATTCTGGATTTAACAGGAAGCCGATGAAGGGAAGCCAAAACAGGAGAAATATGCTCTCTCTTTCTAGTCCCTGTCAGGACTCTTGCTGCAGCATTTTGGATTAGCTGAAGGCTTTTCAGCAAGTTTTTTTGGACATCCTGATAATAATGAATTACAGTAGTCCAGCCTGGAAGTAATAAGTGCATGAACTAGTTTTTCAGCGTCACTTGGTCTTTCGTTAATTAATAGGCTGGTGTGAAAAATTGCTGCCACACCGCCCCCTCAGCCTGTGCTTCGAGATTTCTGGTAGTTAGAATGACTCAGGGGAGACCTCCTGCAAGATGTAACAGCCTCCCCCACCAGTTGAAGAGCCCCCCAGGTGGCTCAACCAGGACCCTAGCCCCGAGACGGAGCACCCCCAGGGGTTTTAAGAGTAAGAAATTGTACCACTCTTGATGGTGTTTGTAGTTCAACTTGACCCGGTTTAAATTTCTTTTTTACTATGGATTTAATTTGTTGATATTCTAAAAATCTTTTCTTGTTGATCCCATATTGTGTAACTAGTCTGTCAAATGGAATAAATTCTGTTCTTTCTAATATATGTTCCAAGTATTTGATTCCTTTACAACTCCAATCTGGAAAGTTTATCATATTATTGTTTTGTAATATGTCAGGGTTGTTCCAGATAGGTGTACGTTTGCATGGGATTAATGAAGACGCCGTCAATTTTTGGCACAGTTGACCTAAAAAAAGTAGTCAGACAGGATGCTGTATGTATGATGCAAAAAAAAGACTTGAAGAAAAGTTGCAGAGGTTCACGTTGCTTACATTCAATACAAGCTCTACTTGCACAACAGTGTGGTCACGATTGGACATTTACGTGGAAGCAAACTAAATACTTATATAGAACCAAAACACAACCAACCACAACAAAGGTGCTTTTTTACTGTAAGATAAAGCCCCCCAAAAAATACAGAGAAAGGTTCAAGCTTCTTAAATGTTTTAGGAGTAGTCTCAGCAACAGCTAAGTGATTACATATTTTGAAGGTGCATTATCCTTTAACTCTGTTTTTCTGAAAAATAAATTATATCTTGACGAGTCGACAGCTGTATTGGGAAGGATGTTGCGAATAAATCACAAAAGTGGCGTTAATGCTTTTGTGGAATGACAATGCAATGTGATATCAGGTCCACGAAAGCAGGAAAAAAACATGCAAACAAAAGAAATCAAATAAAAAGCGAAAAACACTTCAGTAGATATCTGATAAACAAAAGAAGTTACTAAAGAGTAAAATAATAGAATAACACTCAAATAGATTGATATTGGGATTTCTTTTCACATTTTTTAACTATCCATTCATCCATTCTCTTCCGTTTATCCTTTTCAGGGTTGCGGGAGCACTGGAGCCTATCCCAGCTGTTTTAAGGCAAGAGGCAGGGTACACCCCGAACAGGTCGCCAGTCTGTCACAGGGATAACAAACAGACACAGAAAACCATTCGCACTCACATTCACACCTACGGGCAGTTTAGGGTTTCCAGTTAGGGTTTTCCCCACTAACTGCATGTCTTTGTTCCATGCAAACACCGGGAGAACATGCAAACTCCACACGGAAAGACCCCGGCCTGATGGTGGAATTAAAATCAGGACCTTGGTGCTGTGAGGCAACAGTGCTAACCACCGTGCTGCCACATTTTTAACTAATCTTATGAAATAGCATGAACTGTGATGCACATACAGTTGTGATATGTTTGAAGTTAAATTTAAATCTGCAACTTAGTAGTCTCTATTGCCCTCTTCTGCCCAAGTAACTTCATTACAAAGATGGTTATTTGTTAGGCTGTTAAGGCTGTAAAAAAGCCAGTGAGTGAAACAGGTGTTAATCTTGACTTTAAAATAATAATCATTTGTAGATAGAGTCTTACAAGCGTAAATGTCAAATTTCTGGCACAACTTCACCTACTTCCAAGGTGCATGGAGAGGATGATAAACTCACAACGCAGGGACTACAGCAAAACTTAAAATGAAAGGGGAACAACTTTATTGACTAACCAACGCGTTTGGCTTGTGGCCTTCATCAGGGTCCATCAAGGCCACAAGCCAAACGCGTTGGTTAGTCAATGAAAACTCTATCAGTGCCATCAGTAATAGCAGCTGAAAACTAAGAAGCAGCTTTTCGTTGTTTTCAAAACCCCTTTTCAGGGTCAAAGGTTTGTTATTGTCTCAAGTGAGAAACCGCATATGCCTTACTATTCTTAAATGACTGAAAGTTATCTTTATCCTACACTAACGTTGCTTAAGGGCAAGTATTTTTGTGTTTTTGTTACTCATTGGGGTTCTAGGTCATCTAACAGGAGGAAGTAAGATTCAGTGACTGACGATAAACAGAGCAACACTGGACAATGCTTAACAAGGAGCAACAATAGTACAGGGAAGGTAGTAAAATACAGGTTACAAATTAAAGCACAAGTAAAACACATTGACTGAAGCGGCTCAGTCAATGTGTTTTATGATAGTTGTGTTAAAAAGTTTGTGTTATTGTGAAATTTAAGCATTCAAGGTAAAGGTTAGCTGAAAGGGGTAACAAGAACTCGTACTTTCCATACACTGAAAAATTTCTGACACTTGTCTGTTTGATCATTTTGATGCTGAAGGATTTCTTTTTTCCTTCTAATGTTTTCAGCACAGCGAATAAAGTATCCGTTCTGGGCACTTGTGATTGCTTATGCTTATAACTAATCCAAATTCTATTAAAATTGCACTAGAGAAAATACCTTGAACAAACACAAGCATGCATGCATGCACTCTCAAACATTCAGTAACACTCTGACAACTTCCTGGATGCTGGTCATCCAGGTCACACACTACGTCACACCTACCCCACCTGAAACGTGATATTATTGTATAAAAGCTCAGTGTCCCTGAACTCAGGAACAGGTTACAAGGAGAAGTTTCAACGAAACTTAGCACAAAAGTACATTATACTCTGATTTTTGTGCAATAGAACAATTTCTGTAACATCTCTGGTGCATCTCTGCCTCCTTGGTTCTTTCCATTATGGATTTATTGTGTCTGGGTTTTTTTACACTGGTTTTGCTGGCACAGGTAATTACCTATTTTTAAAGTTTTTAAAAAAATGTTTTATTGAGTTTTATAATGATAAAAAGTCAATAAAAGTCAAAGTCAATAATTTAGGTGAAACATTGCAGAAAATGTGTGAATACAAAATGTTTCACAAACATGAGTGTATCGAGCTGACATGTCTAAAAGGATTAAAGTATTTAGAGGAGTTTTTATGTAAAAGTTCTTGCCAAACATTGTTAGGAGGATATCTAAAGGTGAAGAAGTTTTTAAAATAGAATTACATTTGTTTAATCATTATAGATTAATATTGGTCATCTTTTCCTGCCACTAGTAAATACTCAAGAAATTTCTGTTTGTGGTAACTGTAGCAGACACTTTGGAGGAATGATTAACTTCATTCGGAGAAAGAAACCGTTAATTTCTGATCTAATGTATTAATTCCTTACTGGAAAGAAATAATAGGAGAGTTTAGGTCATCCAAATACCATAGAATACGATTAACAGACTAAATAATGGGTTATGATGACAGCATAGGCACAGAAATTTTGCTGTTGTGCTTTTAGTCATTACATTTGTTGAAATGATATTCTATTTTATTCCTTCTGAGACTCCAAGAATCACTACTGCTGATCCAGGCAATACAACTGAGACTGCCACCCTGGACAACACAACTACAGCTGCCACCCTGGACAACATAACTAAAGCTGCTACCCTGGACAGCACAACTACAGCTGCCACCCTGGACAACACAACTACAGCTGCCACCCTGGACAACATAACTACAGCTGCCACCCTGGACAACACAACTACAGCTGCCACCCTGGACAACATAACTACAGCTGCCACCCTGGACAACATAACTACAGCTGCTACCCTGGACAGCACAACTACAGCTGCCACCCTGGACAGCACAACTACAGCTGCCACCATGGACAACATAACTACAGCTGCTACCCTGGACAACACAACTACAGCTGCCACCCTGGACAGCACAACTACAGCTGCCACCCTGGACAACATAACTAAAGCTGCTACCCTGGACAACACAACTACAGCTGCTACCCTGGACAACACAACTACAGCTGCCACCATGGACAACATAACTACAGCTGCCACCCTGGACAGCACAACTACAGCTGCCACCCTGGACAACATAACTACAGCTGCTACCCTGGACAACACAACTACAGCTGCCACCCTGGACAACATAACTAAAGCTGCTACCCTGGACAGCACAACTACAGCTGCCACCCTGGACAACACAACTACAGCTGCCACCCTGGACAACATAACTACAGCTGCTACCCTGGACAACACAACTACAGCTGCCACCCTGGACAACACAACTACAGCTGCCACCCTGGACAACACAACTACAGCTGCCACCCTGGACAACATAACTACAGCTGCCACCCTGGACAACATAACTACAGCTGCCACCCTGGACAACACAACTACAGCTACCACGCAGGCTGCCACCACCACTACTGCTACAACTACCAAACAGGCTGCCACCACCACCACTACAGCTACCACACAGGCTGCCACCACCACTACTTCTACAACTACCAAACAGGCTGCCACCACCACCACCACTACAGCTACCACACTTCCTATACAGGCTGCCACTGCCAATACCACTGGCACTCCAAACACCAACAGTACAGCTACTATCCCAGCCAACGCCACTACAGCTGCCACACAGGACAACATTACAACTCTAACCCAAAGCATCACAACAACAGTGACTACCACCACTGCAAATGGAGGATCGGAGGTGAAAGCTTCTGTGCTTTGTCTTGTTTTTCCACTCTTGCTCTACATGCCTTGTGTTTAATTGTCTGTGAAGCTTGCATACATTAATTGTAGATGCACTCTAATCACGGAAACAAAGGACAACATCTAAGGTAAATCCTGACCCCTTTTTGTTTTGTACACAAAATATATGTAGACTTATCCTAATCTTATGTGCTCTGCATTGTATTTCTTAAATATACAGGGGAACAGAACCATGCAGTAGAATAGAGCTAAACTGACGGTGCAACAAAAAACAAAACAAAGTGATTGTGATTTAAGAAAGAAAAAATATAATAGGTAACACAATTCAGAGCAAATGAAAGTGATAAAAGGCTTTATTACACACACCATATTTTGATCATGTTATATATATATATATATGTAATTAAAATGAACAAAAACCTGTTCTCCTTACATTTGATTGCACCTATAAGTACAAGTCAATAAGTAATATTTAAAATGGGTATACCTAAAGTAAGTGATTCAATACAATATGAAGATTAGCATAAAACAGAGCTTATTTTTGTACTAGCAACGGGAAGGAAGTTACTAAATCAGTGAGTAGCAGATGCAGCTAAAACTTGTAGGCTTTATTTAATCTTCAGATCGACATATAGCAAGCAGTGCCTTTAGATAGTCTCCTTTAAAGTGGTTCTGTTGGAAAAACAGGAAATAGCAAGAAAATACAAATATTTATGCAAATATTTGAAATAGAAATATCGATATATTTACTATATAATAAATATTTATATTTAGAACAATTTTATCTGTGTGACAAACCTGCAGTGTAGTGTAGAGGGAAGTGCCTGTTAATTTAATGAAAGCAGCTCGGATACAGAGTAGATCTTCCTCACTGTGAGACACCATAATCCGCTGCACTATTTCTTTCTGTAAGAGTGAAATGAATATTGGTAACCAGTGCGTCAACAGTCTCTCCAGATGTATAGTCTGTCATTTTGACCCATCTGTACAGAGGAAGTTTGTTTTTTCATGTGCACTCATCAAAATTAAACCACTACACTACAAATAAACATGGTCTCTGCCTCTTCTAATAAACTTTATAAAATTACAGTGATTATGAGTTTCTTAAGCAACAGAAAATAATAGAAATAGCCCCAAAATTATTTAAAAAATATATACATATAAAAAAACAGTAAAGAAATAAATAAAATCCTACATATTAAATTGGCTGCGGTCGATTTTAGGGATCCCATGTTGGTTTGGGTATTTCCTAGCGGTGACAGAAGTTACAGTGTTTTCACTCTCTGACATTATCTTTGAACTTGTTTAATATCTGTGAACGACGGCCACATTTTGCAGAGTCACAAAAGTGCATTTGTGGACAAGGACTTCCTATATACCAAGCCAGTGCCAGTGCGGCATAGTAAAGTACTAAAAGTACCAGTAGGGTGAAATAATTTATGCAAATATGACTGTGGGCAGACTGCGTTTGCAAATATTTGGTTATATTAAGTTCAAATATATTCAATAGTGATCACAGGATATGGCATTCATAATAGAAACTTTCCTTTCCTTATACTGACCATCATATCAACTGATTTTTCTATTATGAGCAGTGTTGGAAGGTTACTTTTAAAATGTATTCCACTACAGATTACAGATTACATGCCCCAAAATGTACAGGGAGTGCAGAATTATTAGGCAAATGAGTATTTTGTCCACATCATCCTCTTCATGCATGTTGTCTTACTCCAAGCTGTATAGGCTCGAAAGCCTACTACCAATTAAGCATATTAGGTGATGTGCATCTCTGTAATGAGAAGGGGTGTGGTCTAATGACATCAACACCCTATATCAGGTGTGCATAATTATTAGGCAACGTCCTTTCCTTTGGCAAAATGGGTCAAAAGAAGGACTTGACAGGCTCAGAAAAGTCAAAAATAGTGAGATATCTTGCACGCAATGTTGATGGTGAACAGATCAAAACACTGACAGAATCCATGGATGGCAGGCTTTTGAGTGTCCTTGCAAAGAAAGGTGGCTATATTGGTCGCTGATTTGTTTTTGTTTTGTTTTTGAATGTCAGAAATGTATATTTGTGAATGTGGAAATGTTATATTGGTGTCACTGGTAAAAATAAATAATTGAAATGGGTATATATTTGTTTTTTGTTAAGTTGCCTAATAATTATGCACAGTAATAGTCACCTGCACACACAGATATCCCCCTAAAATAGCTGAAACTAAAAGCAAACTAAAAACTACTTCCAAAAACATTCAGCTTTGATATTAATGTTTTTTGGGTTCATTGAGAACATGGTTGTTGTTCAATGATAAAATTATTCCTCAAAAATACAACTTGCCTAATAATTCTGCACTCCCTGTATTTTGTAACGTATTCCGTTACTCAATAAGTGTAATGTATTCAGAATACTTTGGATTACTTAATATATTATCATGCTTTTTACAACTACATGAATGTACTATTGCTGTGTGATGTATTACTATTACTGAAGGCCACTCGCCATACCAAAACCAACTAGATTTTTAAATTTTAAAATGAGTAACAGTTAGGTATGGCTGCACTATTTGCAGCAATCTCGTATAGAAAACTATTCCACTCGTATATAAAACAGGTCCGCGGCTCGAACCATAGTAAAGGGACCTCTTGCTAATACGTCGGGTTGTGTGTCGGGCTTGTAGCCGAAAACTAGCTTTACTTTGTTGTCTGCGTCAACTTTGCTAGCGAGAGAGAGAGAGAGGCGTTCAAAGGCTGCTTCAACAGAACTTCGGAGAAAAACACGAACATAGTGTACAGTCAAGTCTTAATGGCTTACTTACAACTGGACTACATTGCCCATGAGGCTACATTCTTTAGGGCTATGCCTGTAACACTCTGCCTATTGCCTTCATATTAAATAAGTTTTTGAATAATAATTAAAAAAAATATTTCTTCACGTCATTTTGTGGGCCGCAAGTAGAGGTGACATGGGCCGCGAGACTGAGACACGGGCATTAGAGCCTCTTAATGCGTGTTTTGTTTGGGTTTCCACCAGCGTGGAATTACCAAAAATAGTGAGGGAATAGCCTAACATATGAAATAGGAAAAGACCTCTGTGTAATCACTTTATTTCAACAAAGACAGTATTCTCAATACCACCCTTTTAAACGATAACTGTAATGGAATACAGTTAGTCATATTTTGTATTTTAAATATGTAACGGCGGTACATGTATTTCGTTACTCCCCACTGATTATGAGCACATCTTTAAAGAAAAATCGTCACACCTCGCAACAGGTGAGGACCTCGTCAGTAGCTATTTGGACCCAGACAATACCTAGGAACTACATACCTTCCCCTTTCTCTTTTATTTCTACTGCTAATAGGAACTCTGAAGAGATTTAACAACCAGACACAAGTTGGTAAGTTGGTAATAACCTCTCGTAGTTCTTCAGTTTCTTTTATTTCTGTGTTTTTTTCAAATTTTTTTTATTGTGAGGTTAAGAAGAAGTATGGCTGAAGTTAGTTGAAAAGAATTGCTAGCAAATATTTTCATATTTAGATAAAGTCTAAATATGAAAGATTCAATAAAGTCTGGATTTTTTAAAGTTGTGTTTTATTTCAATTTCAATCATATCTATAATCAAATCTTGTATTGGACACAAAAATAAATATTAAACTGCTAAAGTAAATATGCAAATTAAATATATATATATATATATATATATATATATATATATATATATCCATCACCACATCCATAGCTGGACTCAATCATTTGATAAACCTATCAGACAGTATGTCATTTGTTCTGTGTGATATAACCCCACATGTCCTTATGGCCAACTGTTACATATTATGTAGTTCTTCCATCAGTGCCTTCTGGTATTTGAATTTTGGCCGAATCCCTCTTTGAGTAGTTTTGAAATCTTCTCCCAAAACTTCTATCATAGATAAATTACCACAAAATCGTCTCACCTTCATGGTCTTAAGTCTCGTGGCAAGGTAGGCATCACGGTTTTGAATGCACTGTACTGTGATAAGACAAATATTAGGATAATGTTGGGTCTCCACCTAATAATGGTATGAAGTGCACAATAAATGTTCAAACAGTATGTCAAACTGTGTTTACCCAAAACTTTCAGACCCAAGCGAAAGTCTCCTGAAAACCTTTTCTCTATGATCTGATCCACCGTCTGCCCAAGCTCCAGCTCCAGTCCCATCAACACTGTTAATCATGCACAAAGTCGGGGGGGATGAAGATATTGGGATTTAAAAACTAAATCAAAACACTTTTTAACACAGAAAGATTAATGAATTTTTAAAAAAAGGGACAGCCACCATTGTCAAGATGTTCTACATCTCTAGAAGTCAATATGTCAATCCATTGTCCTGCCTCAGCTTTCTTCCCTTTTAGGGATGCAGAGAGAGTCTAAATGATCAGACATAATAATGATGAAACACATTAAGGGTTAAAGGAGTAAAAATATACAGTTTTGTTTCAACTATTTCAGAATCAAGTAGTCAGTAGATGTATATGGTTTAACGTATTAAAAGAGCACTTTTTACTCCAGTGCCTTTTAGTTATGTTTGTACATAAAAGTAAATAATACCTCAATGTCTGTCTGAACCACACCAGCGACACATCCTTTCTGTTATGAGAGGGGGTGAAAGAAAAAACAAGAGGAACTATAATTTCAAAAGCTGGACTTAATTTCAAATATGTGCTGTACTGTTTGTGTTCCCAGTGAAAGTTATACACAGGCAAAAGTTAAGCATAGGATTTCATTCATTGTAGATCAAATTCTTTGGTTATAATTCAATCAAAGGCGATGATCAATGACATAAATATTTACATGTAGCAAAGCTTTAAGAAGCTTCTCAAAGTCATTACTGGTTTCCGATTCGATTTCCTTTTCCAGATCCTTCTTATACACTAAAACAGGAAGAGCAAAAAGAAAAAGAAGGATTAGGATTTAAACATCTAATTTCAAATAAACAATCTTTTTGGTCATTTAAAAAAAAAAAGTATCATAAAAGATCTTTGACTTACTTTCTTTGTATGCAGCACTGATGCTTTGCAGCTGCTTTCCAGATCTTGTGCTCAGAATTTCCGCAAGCGTTTCTTCATCTGTGCCCAAACCCTGCACACACATACCATGCACATTTCTTGATATACAACAGGAGCAAAGTGAAGGAGGAGATGAAAGCAGCACAGCGGGAGGTGAAACGCTGCCTGAGGGAAGCAAAGGACACCTACAGGAGGAAGGTGGAGCAGAAGTTGGAGAGGAACAATATGAGGGAGGTCTGGAATGGTGTGAAAACCATCACAGGCCACAACACCAAGAAAAGCACAGTGGGGGGACTGTGGAGAAGGCAAACGAACTCAACAACTTCTTCAACAGGTTTGACCAGCCCACAACCCCCCACCCTCACCCTCACCTTCACTACAGAGTCCTCTCCCACTCTCCTGCCTCCCTCGCTTCCCCCCTTCCTGACACCATGACACCCCCTCCTCCAATCCCTCTCTCAGCAGCAAGACATCTCCCCCCTCCCTCCTCCCAAACATCTCCCAGTGTCACAGTGGATCAGGTCAGGAGGCAACTGAGGAAGCTTCGCCCCAGAAAGGCAGCAGGCCCAGACAAGGTGTGTCCTAGGATGCTTAAGGCGTGTGCTGCTGAACTTGGGGAGCCGCTACAACGAGTCTTCAACCTCAGTCTGCGACTGGGGAGAGTGCCCGCCCTATGGAAGACATCCTGCATCGTCCCGGTCCCCAAAAAGAACCGGCCCAATGAGCTGAATGACTTCCGACCGGTGGCACTGACGTCACATCTTATGAAGACTCTAGAGCGGCTCTTCCTCAACCTCCTCCGACCACAGGTACAACATGCCCAGGACCCACTACAGTTTGCATACAAGGTGGGTATCGGAGTGGAGGATGCCATCCTGTACCTCCTACACAGAGCCCACTCACACCTGGATGGGGGAAAAGGCACGGTCAGGATCCTGTTTCTTGACTTTTCCAGTGCCTTTAATACCATCCGGCCCTGTATGCTTCAGGAAAAACTGAACAGGATGGAGGTGGACCCCTGCCTGGTGGCTTGGATCTCCGACTACCTCACCGACAGACCACAGTACGTCAGGCTGAAGGACATCACGTCTGACACAGTGGTCAGCAGCACAGGAGCACCACAGGGAACTGTGCTGTCCCCTCTTCTCTTCACCCTGTACACCTCTGACTTCTGCTACAACTCTGAATTATGCCATATTCAGAAGTTTGCAGATGACACGGCCATCATGGGGTGTATCTGAGATGATCAAGAAGAGGAGTACAGAAGTCTGGTGAGGAACTTTGTCGCATGGAGTCACACAAACCACCTGCAACTCAACACCTCAAAGACTAAGGAACTGGTTGTGGACTTCGGGAGGTCCAGAGAAGGTCCACTGCCAGTTCAGATAGAGGGGGAGGAGGTGGAGGTGGTCAACAAGTACAAGTACCTCGGGCTGTGGGTGGACAATAAACTGGACTGGTCATGCAACACAGAGCACCTGTATAAAAAAGCCCAAAGCCGACTGTACTTCCTCAGGAGGCTGAGGTCTTTTAACATCTGCAGGAAGCTCCTGAGGATGTTTTACCAGTCGGTGGTTGCTGGAGTACTTTTCTATGCTGTGGTGTGCTGGGGGAGCAGCACAGCAAAGAGGGACTCATCCAGGCTGGAGAAACTGATCAGGAGGGCTAGCTCTGTGGTCGGCATGAAGCTGGACACTCTGGTGACAGTGGCAGAGAAAAGGACATTAAAGAAACTGATGGACATTATGGACAATGCTGGGCATCCTCTGCACACGGCCATAAACAATCAGAAGAGTCTGTTCAGTGACAGGTTGCTTCTCCCCAAGACAAGAACTAACAGACTTAAAAACTCCTTTGTCCCACACGCCATCAGACTGTTTAACTCCTCTCTGGAGGGGAGAGGGAGGGGAAACAGGAGGACAAAGGAGGGGGGAACAACTAAGCTGTAGTGCCTCTTCACCTCACTGTACAATACCTTGTGCAATACTTTTTGTAAATAGTCAACAGTGCAATAGACTCAATACTTGAAATGTGCAATTCACTTGTATTTTTATTTTTTATTCCTATTTATTCTATTTATCCCCTTCGTATATTTTATTTATATTTGTCTCTGTATATATATATGTGTGTGTGTGTGTGTGTGTGTGTGTGTGTGTGTGTGTGTGTGTGTGTGTGTGTATATATATATATATAACAGTTCTGTAACTGTAACTTTGGTCGTTGCTGTGCTTTTTTTGGAAGTCGAATTTCCCAGAGGAACCCACCCGAGGGATTAATAAAGTTCTATCTTATCTTATCTTATCTTAGTTATAACATCTATTCCAAAATCCTAAAGATGAAAGCAACCACTCACCGCCATGGCCTCCTGGAGACGGTAAGCTTCATACTCCACGGGGGGCATCAACAGTTCCAGCAAAAGAAGCTCCAGGTCTCCAGATAAAGCTTTCTTCAGAGCAGTTATTATATCCTAATTCACCACATGCATAAATAAAATAACACTGAATTAATTCTTATTTTGACTTGACTCAGAGTTTCACTCCTGGTTTTCTTTTTGTAATTCTTGTTAAGTTATTTTAGTAAAGAAACAGTAAATATCTAGAAAAAACCTCTGACTAATGGAATAAACCCCCAGAGTACACTTGGGATTGGAAGTGGATTCACACAAAACCTGCCTGACTATCACACTATGGTGTACTCTTTCCCTGTAAGACACTACAGTTGGGCATGTGACAGTAGTTCTGAAGTTGCTAAACAAAGGTGTGTTCACACCTTTAATGTCACCGTTTTTTTATTATTTGATCAGCAAACACTTCAAAGTTACAGATGAGCAAGGCTAAACTTTTATAACTACTAAACCTCAAACTGAAACTTCAGTTTCATTGCTTAATATATTTTATTGTAGGAGACAACTTTACACTTCATGGTTTCCACAAAACCATTAAAGTTTTAATTTCGAAACTCTTTGAAAAGGTTGTTACTGTTTCTATTTTCTCACCTTATGTGTTAGCGCCTGAAAGACCTGAGCAATTACTTGCCTCTGGGCGTTGTTCCTATTGGTTAGTATTCTCAGTAGCGTCACTGTGTCTGAGCAAGATACACGATATTCAATAAATTACCAGGAAAAGGGTGGAAAGAAATCGTGGGAATTTATTTTCAACATATGCCAATGAATGCCTTTGTTTTCCAGTGCTGTCACGATCTCCGTCACATCTCTGTCAGGGTAGAAATTGGAGTAGGGTCGTACTGTTCCAAGGGTCCCCCAGTACATATCCTATTTAATAAAAAGGGACAATAATTGTGGCATCCACTCTCTATACAATATATAAAACAACTGAGTGGCAAGAATCAAGTGAAATGTGTAACAACTAACCTCATACTGAGCATACCGCGAAGGTATGGAGATGTAGAACAATACAGATCAGCCATGCTTGAATTTAAAGAATGCTAAGTATGTCAGACTTCTAGGAGGAGGTGCACGCATGTGTGTGTGTGTGTGTGTGTGTGTGTGGAGGGGGATGGTTCAACACAAACTATTAATACAAGTAATTTTCAATAATGAAACAAATTGGTTGAATTGTATTACTCGGCTTTCTTGATATTTAAAATCGAAACGTGACAATGCGCAGCAACCTTCAGAGCACTTGTTTATAGACAGCAATAAAAGGTATGTAGATAACCAGACTGAACATGACTGCAAATAAGGCTATTTGCAAATGTGGAGTCTTAGTGAGCAGAGTAATAAATCTTAGTGAAGAGTGAAGACGGGGCAGAGGTGTACTTCTTGGAATGTTTACTTACATAAGAGTCAGAGTACTCAGAATCCATGGCTTGCTTGTATCTAATGTGAGCAAAAACGGAAATGGCAAAGACATTAACAGCCCACATCACGGAACAAACAGATAATGTGACTTCATTTTAATAGGTTTAATAGAGATTCTCCAATGAAACTTAAAGTCTACAGCATAGCTTTTGAGAATCTAGGAATTCGTGACAGTAACATATGAAGGAGGAGGCCAAGTCCGAGCTGATTAGCGTTAGCCACTTATTTCTTAAACAAATTATTTAAAAGGAATTGTTATTTTTCTTACCTGTAACAGAATACTAGGCCAGCTGTGACAAGGAGTGGAGGTAGTGTATGTTTTTTTTTTTTTTTTTGTACAACCTCTCCGCCAACAAGCCCTGTATTTCAGTCCCACCCAGGTACGCCACAGCTGCTTCCCGTACACCCACTTGCGTGTCAGTCAAAGATACTGACCAATCAGTGCCCAGCATGTTCACAGCTCTGTTCACAGTTTCCCTGCTCAAATACTATGGCAACCCAGTTATACTTGAGCGTCAAGCAGGAATCTTGATAGTCAGGTTTGGTTACAGGCAACATTTTCTGTGGAATTTGACCATCATTTGTACTTCACGGCTGACTTTCCCCAAAATAAATAATTGACACGCTGTTGCTTTGGGCCAAACACAGTTCATGACATTCAAAGAAGAAATTGTAAGTTATAGCTTTGGCATGTTAAAGCTTTATACCAAGATAAGCAAAAAGATTTAATAAGCAAACTAATGAGGCAACATGCTGGCCATTTCTGAAAGTAAATGGAAGGCACACTCTGGTTTCAGGGTGTGCCTATGTATGACCAGGTGGTCTTTTAGATTCAAAGCCTAGAAACTTGACTGTGCAGCTAGACGGAACAAAAAGGCTTTTCAACAGACACATCTGATGATACCAGCGATAGGAGGATATAGATGTGATAGAGAGCGGGGGTGTTGTGCATTTTTTCAGAAAACTTATTACAGAAGAACAAATGTCACAAGGTTTTGATCTGTCCCATCCTCTGTGCTGGTTGGCTTCTACCAGTTTCTCGTCTACAGAAGGCAAATAAACAGATCTATGTGGTTATTACAAACAAAGCTGATCTAGAGCAGACTGTGTACCCTTTGATAAACTCTGCTAAACAAAGCACTATTTAAAGGGACAATTTGTATGCATCTCATTACTATGGAAATATTAGAAACAATTCAAATTTTATTTTTTATAGAAGCATTTAAATAATAGTGCAGGTGGCCTAGATACTTCCCGTGGCTTAAGTGAAACCACTGAACGCATGTGATATGTGAATTAGGTGAATTTGTGAGTGAAGTCTGAAATTTTAAATGTCTTTTAAAGATTGAAAACTGTTTATTCAAGCATGTGCACAACTATTGAAAGCAGCTGAAATGCTAGCTGAATTGGGGTGAAAATAGTAGAGGTCACCAAAGCTTATTTGACACTGCTAAACCTTGCAGAAAGCCTCCCCAAAAGAGTTGAAGCTGTTGTAGCTGAAACGGTCCACCAACATCATATTAACCCTTTGGATTAAGAACTGGACTTCACTCGAGTGTTCTCAAAGAGCTAAAGTATGAGCACTGATGATGTTGGTCTAAAATGCACAGCAGATAATGTCCTGAGTAGTTTAAAAAACTATGATGAAAAACAAGAAAGAAAAAGATGAATGGATTAAAAAATAAATAAATAAAAATACACCCTTATTTTGTAATCTTTTCTACAATCATTTTATTCAATATTTAATATTTTAAAACCTTTCCCTCCTACATAACATGAAATTACATCTTTAGTATCAAATATTAACATACAGCTGAAGCAGGGAACACAGAAACATACACATTAAGATTTACATCAAAATATGTCAAGAAACGGTAACTCGACAGAAACTGCACAGTTCATTGCACTGGACCATGCATGTATACGTAAGTGCAACATTTCCCACAACACATACAGGATTTTTATATTACATATATAAAAACAAAAAATTAAAAGCGTAACACGCATTTCTTGAATACTAAACATCCTTTTGGCTTCACCCATCCAGCTTCACTATAAACCCCAGAAGGCCATTTTGTTTTCATTCCAGGAAATCAAATGCCCAAAAGCAATTTGAATTTCAAACTTAGATTTATAGTAAACAAATGTAGGACGAGATGATGTTCCTCTTCTACAGACAAAAAAAAAAAAAAAAAAAAAAGCCCCCATAAACCCAGATTCCGATAAACATGGAAATCCAGGCTGGATAATCAAATTGTTGACAAATGATCAGCTGGAAGGTCAAATGAAAGTCGCAGAACAGTGTGAACCATATACGGAATTTTCACTGTACATCCTCAAACAAATAACATGTATTTGCCATTGCTTTTCGACTCATGCTCCAAATAAAACTAAACAAATCAAGGCACTTATTTAAACTCTTCTTTGGTAAAATACATTTTGAAAATGATTAAAAACAAAAAAACAAAACAAAAAACAAAAAAAACATTTCATGCTATGAATGCAAACTAACAAAAAACCTTGAAAACAACTTGGGCAGCTTTTGCAGGGCATCTATTGCTTCTACGCATTCTTGCTGTTGGATACTGATTTCAAACTAGCTCATAGGTTTTAGAAGGAATTGCATGTCCTGAGATGCAGTAAGTCATGAAACAGATACAAGAGTGGATACTGAAATATCAAGACAATATCACAAAGTGGCAAAGATAAGCTCGGTTCCTGTGCTGCTGATGGCTACAGCAACTCTATCTCCCACTGCTGGCTGGGCCTCTCATCATTCTCGGGCATAATGACCACGTGGTCCTTGTCGTAAGTTTTGCCACCTGATGAAAAAAGTAGTTTCACAATGTAAATCTGACTAATTATTCATGCTGTAGTGGAATGTAACTAAATAAACTCATTTTCATTGTGGAATTGTTATTATTACATTAATACATAAAAAAATATCCCTGCCAGTGAACACTTAAAAAGGGAATATGCAGGAAAATAAACTTGGACACTTCTGAAAATTAAGTTAATATCATTTGAGATTAGATAAGATTTTGTGATGACCAATTATAACTTAATATTTAATAATTTTAGAAAATGAAAGCCAGTAAAAACTACAATAGGCACTAACAACTTTACACGCAACAAATGTTTAAAGGTTAAATTACCACATTTTCTTCTCATACCTTTAACATCCAGGACCATGCCAGGGAAAGTATTGCTAGTGATGAGGCCTTTCATTAGGGGCAGTCCAGGTTTGAACGGGCTGTCGGGTTTCTGTCCACAGAACCACCTTTGCTGCTGGCTCTATGTTGCCAACCACCTGAAGGCTCATGGTTGGGGACAACTACAGAATACACAAAGTATTATGTTGGAAAGAATTGTCAAGATTTGAAATGTATGACTGTGTTGAGGTTTTCGGAGATGTCACCAGCATTGTTACCTTGTTTTTAATCAGTCCATCCTGGTAGAACCAGATGTCACTCAGTGGCTCCACCTCAGGCGTCACCACCACTCGTCCTGATTTCAACTCCTCCACGCCACCCTGGACGGACAGGAAGTGACCTCGCTCTGTGTTCTTGATACGGAAAAAGTGGCGCTTCTGTAGAAGGAAAAAAATAGCACAATGTATTACTGTTATAGAATCTGTGGGCAGGCCAGACAACTCAAAGTTATTTGTAAATAAATACTAGCTGAAGTGAACAGAACTGGCTGCACTTGTAATGATGGACATTAGTTTCCATTTTTTTTTCTTTTTAAATATAGGGACCAACAGAATCACCATTCTCTCCGTTTTGGAACTATTGGATACTTTTAACATCTGAGATTTAAAAAAATGTCAGCCTGGTTTACTAATAACACTAATGAGTGACCTAGAACACCAAAATCAACACCTTTAGGATCAAATTATTCTTCTTTAAGGCTCCTAATAAAGGCTTTGTTTGTTTTTTAAGGCTCCTAATGAGGGTTTTTCGATGCAATCTTCACTTATTGTGTAAAATGAAGGCTCTGAACTGGTGCTGGCGACAGGAGCTTAAGTCTATAAACATGATTTAATGCCATTAAAAGCAGGAAGAAAATAATTGTATAATTTTCTTTTAATAATTAATAAAGATTCAAACTTTCAGAGGTTCTCTTATTGTGTACCTCATGTTAAAAAGTCATTGTAAAGAATACTTGTTAACAAACCTGTCTGACTGGGTACATTGAGCCAATAGTGTGAAGGGAGCTGAACTTTGGCCAGTTGGTGATTTCAATTGGCTCCAGCAGGAACTGGCGCCCCCTGTAGTTGCTGTGTTCACATATCACCCAGCTACAAAGCAGGAAAGTGGACACAAAGAATTACTTATGACAACAGTATCCAGGTTCTCAGCAAGATATTTTTGGTTCACTATTAGCTGATGAAGCCATTTAATTGCATGTAAGTTACCAGCCGCTGTTGACTCTGAGCGACAGGATGTGGTTGTTGAAGCCTTCTTCTACCATACTCAGGATCTCTGTGTCTGTGGTGATCTCTCTGCCCTCCAGACACTCAAGCCCGAACAAAGAGATGGAAGGAACTGAGAACAACTGGAGAAAGAAAGAGCATTTAGTAAGGCCATTGCCATTGTGTGCAATAGGTCGGCACCCATAACATGAAATCTCCCACTCGTGGGACTAATAAAGGTAGCTTATAATCGAGAGCAAAATTTTCCTGTGTGAGTGCATTTCTTACCAAGGGCACAATCTTAACAGAACGAATGGAACAGTCAGGGGGGCAGCCCATGCTGGTTAGATTGGGGTAGTCTCCTTCAGATAAGACATACAAGTTCCCAGAGAACTGTTCATTCTCATAGACGACCCAGCTGAAATACACAGTGTTAAATTGTGTCTTTATTGCTTTGCTTATTGACTTGAAAAAATAAAAAATACACACACACCAAATCATGTCAACTCTAACTTTTACTCACTTTACTTCCTGCTTACTCACCTTCTTCCCGTCACTCTGCATGACTTGGTAACTAATTTTTCTGGCATTTCCTCCTGTTTGCAGTTAAAGATGTAACACTCTCCCTGGAAGTCTGGCTCAGAGTACAATTTTATCTGACAAGAAGAAATAGGCAAAGCAAGGTGAGATGCCAGCTGAGAACATTTATATCTGTACTGTGACAGAAGCAAAGTTAACAGGGAAAATGTCAAGGTGCTTAACTTTGACCAAGTTATTAGCTTTAAGATATGCTCCATCCTTGAAAAAGGTTTTAAGCAAACAAAAAGAAACTCTGGATTCAAGTAATACAGTTCAATGTAACCTTCGCACATTGTTTTGGGACTGCTATCAGGCAGGGGACAGAGAAAGGTGAAGAAAAACAAAC